CCGGAAGTGCACCAGACATCATGTACTTCCATTGTTTTGAGAGTCTTGGGATAGATCCAGCTCTGTTGCAGAGGTATGATGGTCCCATCTACGGGTTCAACAACCAACCAGTTCCAGTCGAGGGAGTACTTACCATGAACGTAGCATTTGGGAGTGGCCGAAGTTATGTGACCCCTACAGTGAGGTTTTTAGTGGTCAAAATGGCGTCTTCTTTCAACGTTGTTATTGGCCGACCTACACTAACTGAGATTCGAGCCGTGGTTTCCCAGTCCCATCTGTGCATGAAATTCCCAACTCCTACGGGAATAGCAACACTGCGAGGCAACCAGGAGGTAGCTCGGCATTGCTATATCACCTCGATAACACAGCCTCAGAAGGGCAAGACTCAGACACCCGAGATTAATCCCAAACAGATACCTGATGATCGGCAAGTTATGGGTGTCGAAATAGTAGATAACCGACCTGAAGATGAAACCAGAGCTGCTCCGGTTGAAGATGTGGAGGAGGTACAGATTGATGACAGAGATCCGAGCAGAAAAACGCAAATTGGGACTAAATTGAACTCGGAGGAAAGAGCAGAGTTAATAGCTTTTCTTCGGGCCAATAACGATGTTTTTGCATGGACTTCAGTAGATATGCCGGGAATCCCCACTTCAGTTTTTCAACATAAACTCAGCACCAATCCCCTCAAGAAACCAGTAGCACAGAAGCGACGTCTCTTCGGGGGGGAGAGGTTAAAGGTTATTAAAGAAGAAGTTGAGAAACTCTTACAAGCCGGCTTTGTCAGGAGGGTAGATTACTATGAGTGGGTCGCCAATCCGGTGTTGGTGAAGAAAGCAAATGATAAATGGCGGATGTGCATCGATTACACTAACCTTAACGATGCATGTCCAAAGGATTGTTATCCAATGCCAAACATTGATAAACTAGTTGAGGCAGCTTCGGGAAATGAGAGATTAAGTCTCTTGGATGCATACTCAGGCTACCACCAAGTCCCAATGGCTCCTAAGGATGAAGAAAAAACCTCGTTCTATGCTGGCGACGAGATCTATTGCTATGTAATGATGCCCTTTGGTTTGAAGAATGCAGGTGCCACTTACCAGAAGATGGTTACCATCGTGTTCCGAGCTCAAATAGGACGGAATCTGGAAGTTTATGTTGATGATATAGTGGTGAAGAGTTTGAAAGCCGACAATCATTTAACCGATCTTGAGGAGACATTCAACAATTTCAGACAGAATAGAATGAGGTTAAACCCAGCCAAGTGCATCTTTGGTGTGGAATCTGAAAAATTCCTGGGTTTTATGGTTTCCCGGAGAGGAATTGAGGTCAACCCAGAGAAGATCAGAGCAATTGCCGAGATGGAACCGCCGAAGTCAGTTAAGGACATACAGAGGTTGACTAGAAGGGTAGCAGCTCTTCATCGGTTCATATCGAAGTCAGCAGATAAGTGCCTACCATTTTTCAAGATTATGAGGTCAGCTGCCCA